TTGTGCGCCAAGTAGCCTCTACCTTGCTCTCGTCCGGCACCGATCCCGATTCTGCCATATGGCTGCGGAATACAGAAGGCTCGGCTCGATCCTAATCCCCATCCTTTCATTCTAAGCGCATTGTTTTACGTGTTCCGCGAAGTTCAACTTGATGTCGATGCTGACGCCTAGGTACTTGTTGTGGTCGGAGCAACTGGATTCTTCAGCTAATTTGAAAAGTGGCTTACGTTTTATTCCCGAAGAAGAGGTCCTCATTCGACACCCGGTTGAAGGGGAGCATCGAATATAGTATTGTAGAGGATTTTTAAAATCCAGGGCCTGAACTAGATCCCTGCGGGCAGCCCTTGCTAACCTAGAGTTGGTTTCTACTACGAGCGTAGTCTTTTCCCCCGTCTTCCTAGATGTAATTCTTCACAATTTGGAGATGTGAAGGCCCTCGGCCAAGTGCTTCTCGGTGATGGTACGATGTACCCCCCTCAATACGCAGGAGAACGTCTGAGCCTTGCGAGGAGGAGGTTGAAGTCCTTGGGTGCCGCGATTCCGGCCGAGGATGTTGGTAATACGTACAAACGGCTTGGCAGTTTGGTGATCTTATCAGTGAATTTCTTGTTAGTAGAAGTGATGAATGCGGTTTTAGATCTTCCGGGGCCTTTGCGAACGTGAGACCGAACTCCCTGGTCCACAGGAGCTTTGTTAAAGACCTGGGGTTGTTTTCAGTGTCTGGGAGATTATTTACTCTCCATTTGTAGATCTTGGTTGATGGTGATGGCTGGATCGTATTAGGTCTGGGAGCTGTAGGTGGTGCGTTGCTCGGCGGAGTCCGAGTAAGAAGATGAGTCATAGGACGAATCGGGACAATAGCGTTCCGAAGAACAAGGAGATAGTCGTCGTGGAGGTTGGTTCAGGCTCCTTATAGCAGGTTCGTCGGTATCTTCTATTGTAGCCACTCGTGTCTTTCTGGTTATGCGTTTTGTGGTGAAGGCCTTCGACCATGCGGTGGTAGACATGTTGCTGTGGTCGTTGCTCGCGACGAACTCGTAATTTAATGTTCCTTGGGCGGCCGAGTACCATTTGATCCACGGACCGGTAAGGGAACAATTTCACAATTACAAATTCTTATTTCCACTTCGTATAAATACTCCTCGCCATAAATACCTGAGCATGATCTGCTATTCTACATGTCCTATAGATAACCGTCATCCTGAAATCCAATAACCATATTTCTTTTAGGCAGATGGTTTAATGAGGAGTAACTGACATCTTGTAAAAAATAAGTAACTTATCTGTCGTCGATGACACGGTTTTCATGAATGTGCTGCTTCAGTGTATTGAATACATTATCGTTTACCAGAAACGATGCTAATTTTTGTATTAAATCTCAAAAGTGTTGCTAACGATGGTAATTTAAATATATGTGATAGGTATCTATAGCATTTTCTACTCTGTTTAAATACTTTGCAAATACTTTGTCTTCCATATTATAAAATTTTCCTTATTTTTTTAATTTTGAACATTAATGTTAAATTTTGTCTTCTTCTTTTACTTAACTCCATTCACTTAACTTGTGTGTCAAGCACAATTTCGCCAGCTATCGCCCCGTGGTCATATGTAGATAACCAGGATTCTGCGGTTCAGTACAATTGGACTGGGTTGAGTCTCGGAAAGGATGATTGTGTGCTTGTATATAGGACCGCAACCAGATAGACAGCGTAGGTGACAAGTCTTGCAACCAAATATACGGAGAAAACACTATTTGAATATTATGGTTCTTCTTAAGAACTCCAAGACGGCCAAATACACGTCACGATTCGCTGATGCCATCAAAAGAGGGATGCAGGTAGGCAATGGGACTTTGAGTGCAACGAGAGTCAAAATTAATTCCGCACTGATGGCTGAGTTGTTGGGGCATTCGAAGAAATAATGGTTCACCGTACCCAAACTACCACATTCACATCGGTCCAGCCCATCCAGTGGAAAAGGGCCGGAACGAGACTGAGTCTGGTGAGAAACGAGATGTCGGCTTTCCTCGTGAATTTTATCTCATGGAACCAGGGTTTGTACTTGACCGTTGGGAAGCTGTTGTAATAGGTCTTACCTCCACCTTAAGGCCTGGGAACGTATATCGAGTATCTGGAATTGATGAGCATTGTTGGCCAATTCGTCAGCTATCTCGTTGCCTCTAATTCCTTTATGAGAGGGGATCCAGCAGATTTTAATCTGTGACCCCTCTTCCCACAAGTCCCTACAACAAGCATGTTCCTTCCTGTATATTGACGCAACCAGAGTGTATAAGTTGTCCACCGCGCCTCTACCCTTGCGGAAGCCCACATCTCCAGCCTGTTCTTGATGATTGTCTCCAAAGTTTTTCGCACGCAGGAGATCAGAGCGATAGGAAGACTGCACTTGAGAATAGGTATAATGGTAACTCTGTTCCAGCTGCAAGGCACCATCCCGGAGATCAACGTGCCATTAAAAAGAGCTCTGGAGTGCTCGTCTAGGTTCCTCAGCATGTCATATGAGATCTCGTTCTGACCCACCGCCGAGTCCTTGGAATTGCAAAGAACAAGCTCCAGTTCCTCCGAGTTGATTGGGCGGCTGAGAGTATCATCTTCCTCGTAGGGGGCAGGATCCAGTTTTTCTATGGGGAGTTGGGGTTCCTCTGGGGTGAGCCTTCTGAGGAAGGAACCTCTCCACAGCGGTTCATTCATTCTAGGCAACCTCTCTCGAATAAATCTTCTATTGAACACTCTGATATTTTTCCATACCTGAGTAGAGGGGGATTCCCTTACCAAAGATTCGCAAAAATCTCTGAAGCTGTCACTCTTCTTTTGTTTCAAGAGACGACGCGTCTCGGCCATAACTCTCCTGGCCGCAATTAGGTGCTCCAGTTTGCTCGTGTGATGGAAGATCCTAAGGAATTTCCTCCTTCTTTCCGTCGTAGCGCTACACTCCGCATCCCACCAGGGGCAGGGCGGTTTGTGGGAGAAACATATGTTATCGGTCTCTGGGGAACATTTCCTTGCAACTCGGAGCAGTAGTTCGTACCATTTCCTCCGAGACCTGCGAGCGATAGTCCTGCCATTTAATCTTGTTGTAATTCAGTCGCGTACTTCGAGGAGTTTAAATTTTGTAAATTATCGTAATTTTTGTCATTCTTTTTTTTATTTTTGTAAATAATAATCAACAACATTAATCTCTTTATTCCCACAACATTTACCGTTAAAAGCGGTATGTCGTATTTCAAAAAGTAATGTATGTGTTTGTAGTTTGCTTAGAAATGGAAATTGCATGCCCTTTTCAATTCTTGTAGAATTCTGCGTTGCAATATTCCACTGTTCAAATTGAGGAAAACTGATGGAAGGCAATGTCCACTTCCAACATCCATCAACACGCTGATGACAACGGGTGAATACAGAACGTACTCGACTTTTTTTGGCATTCCTCCGAAGGACCCACCAAGCATATATAACAGCAACTATATCTTTACACTTGTAAATCCGTTCCAGAGTGGGTCTCGTCCTAGCACTCCGAAAGGGCAGGAATGCTGGGATAACCTAACAATGGAACAAAACAGAAACAAACACCCCCAGTAAGTGACTGGCAAATGTGTCTAGTGGACCGCCAAGTGGAGCATGATTCTGCTGGTGGCTGGTGCTGGTAGAAAATAGAAGAAGAGTCACATCATTTGACGCAACAGAATATAAACGTACATTAATAATATATTTAATATTCATATATATCTACAAATATTACTTACTTCCTACTGTTCGTCTGTAATTTTCTCAATGTCGAAATTGGTCGAAATCTTTAACTTTGCAAGTCTATCGAATATCAATTTACATAAAAAAACACGTAATCCTCCCTGGTCCGCGTTTATTCATGTTTGATATATCCTATCTAAAGAAAAAAATATTAATTAGTAGTGATTTCAATATATTGATTAATTGATCAATTACCTCTTCAGTGTTGTTCACATACACTCTCACAGGTTTACTAGTGTCTGCTTCATTCAATGGTAAGAAAAAAACATTGTTAGTAGATAATATTTAGTAGTTCGTATTATCTTCTGGAAGCTTGCTATTTTGCCGCGTTTTTCTTAATCTGCAATTAACATTTTAACAAGGATTGTTTATGCAGAAATAAACGTCAAATTACTATCGTCTTTATTCACATTTCAAGATTTGATATTCCTTTTATAAATTACTTAATAGTCAACTTTTTCTTTAAACAATTATTCGAAAGTTTTTAAATTTATTAATCGGCCTCATTTTCTATAATATCGCAGGCTATTTGAAAGTGGACTAAACAAGGAACTAAATAAATTAGAAATAAATTGAATAAAAAAAGAGAAAAACTATCATTGATACTTACAAAAATATTATGTGTAACTTTTTTTTACAATTTATTTTTACTTTATTATATAAAATTTAGTTTGTTGTGAAATTTTAAAACAGGACTAGCTGTAGAATGAAAAAATCGATTTATTTTTAATGTTAATAGTAACAAAATTGTTTAATGCATTTTCCAATAATTATAACTATCAACTTAGTTAATAAATATTTTATGCTAAAATAAAAGTGTTTATATGACATTCCGTTACATCTGTAGTCGACCGGTGAATTTTGTTGACCCACAGAGTAATTTGATTATAATTGCAAATTTCATTACACTTTAATTGAAAATAATTTAATTTATAATGTAATGACTATTTCAGTACACATTAAAAAAAGCAAAATCAAATGAGATTCATAATATAAAAAAGCAAGATGCGTTTATTCTAATTTAAATAAAATATCTAATATATAACAAAAGTTATATTTAAATAAACAATATAAAAAATCACATAATTTACCTTTTAGGTTTGTGTCGTACAATAATTATATAATAATTTGGTGTCATAAATGTTATGGAATCTATCTTCTACGTAATAATATAAAATGGGATTAATTTTAAAACACATTTAAATATTTTTTAATAAATTAATATCAATCAATAATTTACTAATCTATGGAGTGTGCTTCATAATTATTTACTGTAAAAAAAAAATAATTAAAAAAATACGCATTTTTTTTTAATTGTACTTACTCGAATATATTGTTTCCGTAACTAATTTTATCGTCTTATTGATACCTAATATAATCTTTCGTGTAGGTACTTTGTTATACTTGATAATTTTATTTATGAATTTAATTATGTCAACACGTGATTGAAGTTTTACCAAATATTTATCTAATGTATTAGACGTTTCTGTCCAAATGTCTGCAACCACATTTCGCTGTTCCCAAAGTTGTTGTTTTAAATGTCCACTTATATTTGAATTAATCTCCTGAACATATTCAATCAATTTTCTATAGTTTTCATTAACTTTATCCAGATGCTCAAAAACATCGCCATAATGTTTTAGTTTTTCTGAATAGATTTTATTACACCACCGGTCTCTCTGTTTTGAGACATATGAATTGATAGTGCCGCAACTTCCCTGCTGTTCTAAATATTTGCGTGCCCTCATTTCTTTTTCTTTGCGATAATTTATGACTTCGGTGCTTTTATCATATTCTATTTGAACCTTCTCAACAAGTTTCTTCAAAAATACACAAATTTCTTCAGCTCTCATTTTAATTAAACTGGTGTCCATTTTGAGTAAGTAGTTCTTCCTTCTCTACTTATCCGTTTTGGTTCGTGTCCTTGTATTCAACAGTGACTTTATTTTTGTATGTGTTTCGTCTAATTTAGTTATCTATGGATATTTTAACAGCAACTAATGATGTGGAGACGATGCAGTTCTTCGAAATTTCTTGGTTTTGTTGCTCTGCTGCTTTGATGATGGGCTTATTCACATCTTCCACAAAAAAGATCAATTTTTCGTCGTTATCGCTGACTTATTCGTTGTCGAATATTCAATTTCCGTCGAGGATCGTGAATCGTAGATATTAAAAAACGTACATTCGCAATTTTATCTGTTTATAGGCGCAAAATGGCTTTTTAGTTGTCTGAAACATCTACGAACATTTCACGCATCGGTATCCTCAATTCCGCACAGTTTGGATGTGGTCATGATCTGAACAAAAACTAAGGGTAACAAAATCTACAAGATTGATCGGGAAAAAATACTCACACAATATATTTCTTACAACAGACGAAAATTAACACACAAAATGGCAAAAATAAATAAAACCTGGGTAACGAGGATGATACAAACACGCAATATTTTTTATCGCTCATTCACTTATATATCCGCGAAAAGGAACCACTGTTATGATCCAATTTGCTATTTAGTACTATAGAGGGCGGAAAATCTTTATGTATGTTTAGTCATTTTAAATAAATTAAAAGAAAACAATTCACCAATATAATTTGTCATGCTATAAATATACAAAGATATACTTTTATGAATATAATTGTATTAGATTATTATTTATATAAACAATTATACTGTTATTTTTGAACTCTTTTTACGATAGGTTAAAAGAAATATGCAAATGTATTTGTAATGGTATTTATACAAAAGACTATATAATTTGAAGTCTTTGTTGTGTAACATTACATTATTAATTTCTATTGGTGCCAATTATAAAATATATAAAATTAACTTTCAAAAATAAATTAATACATTTTTTAATATATTAAACACTTTTACACAATGAGCATAAACATACTAAAAAAGGATTCTTTGGAACTTCTTGATCATAAGAAGTTTAATGTGCAGACTATTGAAAAGGATCTAAAAAAACGAAATAAAGATTTCAGCCGTCACCGAGTAAAAGATATTATTGAGAGTAATTATTTGAAGCTTCAGGGAAGAAACGGAACTGTTTGTTCTTTTGTTAACAATCGCAGACAGCAGTGGTGTAAAACTGTGCATTCAAATGAAGAGATATATTGGAAAGATGTACTTTCGGATGTGGAAAATGTTTGCGCTATGTATAAAACTTTAATTTAATATATACAGGATGCTGCTGATGATAATTTGAATATCATATGTTTGTGTGAAAAAAAAAAGTTTCAAAAGCAGTCGGATCTGATAGAAATTTTAGAATTCGACGCGTCTTCATCCGTAAAAAAATAATCTAAAAAAAAATAAATTCCCATATGGATATAAATAATTTCATAAAGATAATAATGAAAAATAATGACGTTTTAAAAAATATTATATCGAAAATTAGAAAGTTGATCAAATTGATTTCGGACTCAATAAACAAAAGTAAGTAGAACCTAATACTTTTTTTTTGCGAATTTTCATTTTTCTTTTTTTCGGTAAACAGTGCATGAAGATAATTGTGAATCTATTGATCAGGAAAATAAAAAGTAAATTTTACCATTTCTTATAGTAATTATAAACTATTATATTAATTAAAGAACCTCAATACCATGTATATTTTTTTGTATAACTTCTTATTTAATTTTTTTTATTTATATACAATTTTTACAATATTTTTTATACATTTTTATTAGTATTTATATGTGTATGCCCCTCAGGTTCGGTTCTTTCGGTACGCTCCTTGGAACCGGTATTTTGAGCGGGCTTGTTGGTTTACCATGTTCTATATCTTCGTTCTGCGATCCCGTTCTGCGATCCCGCATCCAACACATCATTTTTGTTTTAAACTTCTTCATGTCATTTTCTCTTCTTATTTCCTCTGGAACCATGTTGTATTGTGCTACGCCCTGCATTATGTAATTTTCATATAATGCTAAAATTGTGTTGAATGTTATAATTNTGTTCCATTCTAATATTTCCTCTCGCTCTCGTGTTATAATTGTGTGTGTCGCGGCCGAAAGACAGGCCTATCCGGGTCATTTATTTCAGATCATGGGTGTCGCAGCTAAAAGACAGGCCTATCCGGGTCTTAATTTTTTTTTTACTATTTTGTGTATCAGAATGTTTGTCTGTGCCTCTATCAGTGTCCCCACATCCGGTATCTGCGTGTCACGGCTATTTGAAAACATAATTTTTTAGCTTTGCTTGTTGTCTTGTTAATGCTTTTACGTTTTCTTTTGTTGTGTTTCCCCACACCGCCACACCGTAGCACATCCTCGAGGTAAACTTATTTGCTTTTATGTTTTCTTTTGTTGTGTTTCCCCACACCGCCACACCGTAGCACATCCTAGAGGTAAACATACTATGGTACACTGCTTTTACATTGTCTGGGAGATATTTGTTTATTTTTTTCACACATCCAATTGTCGTAGCATTTTTTTTTTGTAATCCTATTGGTCGTCCCAACTAGTTGTGTTAATGTTCCCAATATATGTCTCTTGTTCTACTTTTTTATGTTATTGTTAATTTAGCCGGTCGTCCCAACTTAGTTTGTTGTTTAATAGTATTCCCAAATATGTCTCTTGTTCTACTTTTTGTATGCTTATATTGTTTATACTGATGCTTATTTCGATTTTCTTGCATTTTTTTGTTGTAGGAGCATGTAGTGTGTTTTATTCTCGTTTATTTTAACGATTAAGCATTAGTGTGTTTTATTCTCGTTTATTGTCATCAGTACCATGTCTGTAGTTTAATAATATCGTTGTTGATGCCGTTTCCTCCCTATTATATTAATTAAAGAACCTCAATACCATGTATATTTTTTGTATAACTTCTTATTTATTTTTTTTTAACTAGAATATTTTCAGTAATTCAATGTTTCGTATTTTATTTTATATCCGCATTCGGTTTTTAGAAAATCTTATTTTTTCCAATTATCACGACATTATTCATTTCTTTGAAAACTGAAGTTTTTTCTTTTAATATAAACTGTTTACTGTTGTCATGGCATATTCATAATTAATATATATTTTATATTATTTTTTTTTGCATTTTTATAGAAACTTGAGTTTGAGTTCTATAGTATATGTAAAACAATGTTGTAAGTTGTTATTCGATTTGTGTATATTTATTTTTGCTTTTAATGTGTGCGATATTCAAATATATGTTTAAAAAAAAGCGCTATCGTAAAGAAACCCTATAAAACCCTGCCTTATAATCGCAGAAAAACATTGTACCATAAATGATTTGTATATTTTAATACCGATAAAACGTACCTCTTTCGATAGGCATTTCATGATAATTGTAGCAAAAAAACATGTTTAAATAAAATAGTAAAATAGAGAAATCAATTTATTATTACTAAAATAAGAAAACAATATATTCCAGAAACCTTGTTTTTTTTTCTACAATCGTTTTTAAATAAATAGCAAGTTTACTTCTAAAATTTTAAGTTTTAAATGTTTACACATTAATAAAATGAAGTTATTTCTAGATTCTTTCACTGATGTGTTTTCCAGACGAGTGAAGCTTTCTCCTCTATTGCTGCCTTCCTATACACTGGGAAGATTACTTCATATGTATAAAGGAGCCATTGTAAAAAGTAGAAAATATACCGAATTTGGTTAGGGTTCAAGTATTATTAAATGTATGAGTACTGCTGAATTCATTTACATGATAATTGTACCGCCAATAAAATTACTTAATGTCCTTTTATGATTGATCGTAAATAAAAATAGATATAAAAAAAATATTAGAATTAATCAACAAAATGATCGGTGTTTAAATTTAATTACTATGCAATTAAGTAAATATACTCAAATTAATCCATTCGCAAATTATCGATTTATCTATCAGTTACATTCCAGGATTTCAAAAAATATGGAAAAAATTAATTTACGTGTTTTACATTTGCTTTTGAAAAAATATCTGGGGCTTTAATGTTGGCGTTTGGTCATCGGCCACGTCCTCGGTGATGATGACGTCGTCGATGATGGAGTGACCATTGTAGTTGATTAGAGTCGGGTCGGGTCGAAGTCAGCGTTGTGAGCATTTAGGTCACCTAAGACGATTAAAGGGGGCTTCTGGGAGACGTATTGTATAAAAATGATGGGGTGGCATTCGCGGGGGCGGATGTATATGGAGTGTATGTTTACACTCTGCCAGATGACGGGGGTTGGAAGCCTCGGCGTGAACGATTTCGCCAAGGATCTTCAGTCGCTTCTGGAACAGTTCGGAGATCACCTTCTTCGAAAGGGGTTCCTAGCATGGTGCCTGGATGTTGATGTGATGGAAAGTGGACATCCGACCCTCCCTGGCAGCTTGGTGAGCCTCTTGCCGAGAGACTCGTCTGCACTATTCAAGAAGATGGTTTTTACCTTTCGACGAGTTCCATCAAGTCTCTTATGCATTTAAAGAGTTCCTCCACATTTGTAGGTGTTTACGTACCATTTTTCCACCTTTGTTCAACACTTTTCTCTGCCGTGGTCCGCACTCGACCGTTTCCGTCCGGCACCATGTTGCAACTCATTCCATTTTTACCTTGGTGCCATGAGCATCACGGATGATATTAGTGTGCCATAGTAAAACATGCGATACAAGAGTATAATTTATATTGGCTGCATAATTTTTTAAACTAATTTAGCATCACGCTGAGCTGCTGCACGATCTCGCTTGGCGCACGTCAGGAATGGGGGTAACGAGAGGGCAGACCAACTAACTGATAAGATCTGTATCTGAATCTGAGATGCAAGTGACCAGTCTTCCTCCCATCAACTACGCTTAGTACTCCATGGGAACCCTTGGAGTGGGTCAGGTTGCTCGGTTTTATTGCCGGATATTCGTTTCGAACCGGATGAACTTTCGATTTTTATTGCTGGGGAGTTTTTTTTGTTAGTTCCTTTATTTTATCCTGATATACAGGGGTAAATGCTGGAATTGGCTGTGTGATTTCTATTGCAGTTAGTGCATATTTTAGGTATATCATCCGGTTTCAAGCTTTTGCGTTTAAGTGATCGTCATTGAGCAGTTTGCATTTGAATGTCCCCATCTTTGGCAATGATGATATTCGCCCATAATATTTTTATTTTTATATTTTTCGATTTTTACTTTAACATATTCTAATAACCTGACATTTTCCTTTATGTGGTTGTAGTTTGTTGTTTACTGACGTTGAAGAGGTAAGAGGAGTTGTATTTTCCCGCAAGTTCCTTTGTGTAATCCGACCGAGGAAGCTTTAATTTTAATACTTGTTTGTTTGGGAGTTACCTTGAATCCTATTTTCTTTACTGCACTTGCAATCCTGTTTATTATCTCCCGGCCTATTTTCTATTCCATAATTATAGGCGGGGAGTTTTCGTTTGCTGCGTAGTATTGTTACCACGATCATTCATTTGTTTTCTCGGACCGTTGGCTTGTGAGTTCCCAATCACCCCTATCTCCCATCATCGTTGTCGTTTTCATGTTCCTATCACTGTCACTGTTCGCTTTAATATGCACCAATATATATTTATATATTTAGAATTAACTA